GGAGTATCTAAGCCTTTGGAGGAGGGTTGTGTCAGACCTGAGTGGGGGCTAGGGAGATAAGTTAGGGAGATGTGAGTCTGCTGTGAGAGTCAGAGGACACCCAGTCCACATTCCGTCCTCACCAGCAAGATCCTTGTATTCCTTCAAGATCAGGTCTGTTCCCTTCTGTCATCTCTGAGAAGCCCTCCCTCATGTCTGAGGTAACTTCCTAGCCTCTGTTCTGCCCATAATGCCCGTGGGCATCTTTATCACTACAGTTAGTCTGTTGTGTTATCATGACCTCTTTGCACCTATCTTAATGCAAAAGGGAACTTCACCTTATTTGTTTTGAGGTGCCTACTACAGTGCTGGGCACATAATAGATGCTTAATGAATGATTATTGAATGAATAAATGCATAGGAGAAAGTGTAAATCAGAACTATATTAGAACAGATTTGCTTATTAGACAAATGTTCCAGGAATTTCCAGCACTCTTGGTATGGTAGGATAGCTCAGATGGATTCAGTATTAAAGTAACTTTGGGGAGTTAATTTGGGAGCCTAGCCATCTTCTATAATATTGTGTCCATGAGAAAAATGAAATTGTGTTTTAAATAACCAACTTCCAGGGGCCTCCCCGGTGGCACAGTGGTTGAGCGCCGGGTTGCAAAGCTACCCGCAGCCTTTGCATCGCCGGTTCGATCCCTGACTGCTCCCCGGCCACCAGAGGAGGGTCCCACATGGCGCGCAGACCTCTCCTGCTGCCCGCTGCTCCCCTCAGCAGTGTTCTTCGGTCCTTCTGCCTGCTCTGCTCCCCGCTCTGGCTCTGGTGAATTCTCTCACCCTCCCACGCTTCTGACTACCCAGTGCTTGAATAAATAAATAAAATAAATAAATAAAAATAAAAATCTTTTTTAAATAAATAAATAAATAAATAAACAACCAACTTCCAGATGAATCTTCATGTCACAATATATTCCTGATTTAAGGCCTGCCTGTACTTTCCAAATGCCCCATGCTGAGTCCTGAATAATCCTTTCCTAACACCCAGTGGTGTGAGTTGTCCAGAAAAAGCTACTTTCCAAAAATTTAAGCTAGACAAAGAGTGTGTTCACATGTTACCCTTAAATAGGCAGGTTCCAAGAGCTGAATCTGGATCCCCCACCATTTCAATCCTTTTCAGATATAGCATTTTTCCTTCCTAATAATTTCATCATTATGAAATATATTTCAGCCAATGTGTGTACTGAGTGTCAGGTACTGCCTAAGTGCTGCTATTATTCAGCACTTCCCAGGAGCCTCAAAAAGCCCACTACCAACCCAGCCCTGAAGTCAGAAAAACCAAAGAGGCTGAAATGAAACAGATCTATCTTCACTCTGTCCAGAATGGAGCCAACCATTTCCTTTTCCCTGCCACCAATTAAAACAGAAACTGACATAAATGAACTTGAACGAACCACTAAACTGTGAAGGTCCCGGAGAAGGAGCCTCAGAGCAGTCTCAGTGCTGGGATGCTCTGAGCCATCTTCCCCATCAGCTAAGCCCAAGTACTGCAGCAAGGCAGCCCCCTGCAGCAGCACCAGGTTCTCAGGCGGGAAATATGGTAACAGAAGGTAGGCACAGGGTACTGTTGGAGTAAGAATTTCCATTTTAAGGATATAAATAAATAGCTTGAGCAAGAGAGTTGGAGAAAATCAAGGGATGGAGGATCTAGAAAGTGACAAATCCTTTCATCTTTTTCTGTGTTGCTTGTTGCTTAAGAGAAGGCAGAAGACATTTTTTGGCCTGAAAAATAATGTGGTAGCTTGTCCTGCTGTTGAGAAGTCAGCTTGTGGGGGCTTCCTACCCTCAAAGGACTTTATGAACACAAGGTGACTTGCATTTTGCTTGTCTGCAGAAGTTAATGTTCTTCCTTTGAGCAGGAGGGAATGAATAAACGAAAAGCTTATTTACTTTATAAACAGATAACCCCCAAGGGAGAGCCACTGATTTTTCTAATACAGCTTATATGCCTCTGTTGCATAGAAAAATCACACCCTGCAGCTGCAAGTATTTAAGGAATTAATTGACTTATCCAAGGAAAGGACAGTCATGTTTTCTCGCATGCAGGACTAATTTAAGAAGGCTATATGCTTTGCATCCACTCGAGATTCTCATCCGAAGAACTGGTGCTGTTTGGTAAATAAAACCAGAAACTCTTGGAGAATAAGGATTTGATCATCTTTTTTAAAGCCTTCAGATTCCAGATGCTCCTGAGTCATCTTGCTTAGTGCTGCCCAGAAATCTCAGCGAGTCATCTATTCCCCCCCATTACAGTTTCGGTGATTTCAGGAGAGTGGCCCCTATTTTATGTTGTCGGGAATTATTATACCAGGGGGTAATAGCTTTAGAAAATAGTGTTATTTTAACCCAGATATAAATTTTGTTGAGGTTATTTTGCAGTTTTAACGTAAAATGACTTCTCGTACAGAAGAATGTTTTCCTTCTTCTTATCAGTGACATACATACTAACCATTTCTCCCAGAATAATACAGCTCATCTTACTACTCTAAGATATATTTGGTAATTTATGACTCTAGAATCTAGAAATAAAAATGTAGTTTTTAAAAAGTGAAAGAAACCAATCTGAGAACTACACAACTGTATGATTTCAATTATATGACATTCCAGAAAAGGCAAAACTATGGAGACACATAAAAGATCGGTTGTTGCTAAGTGTTAGGAGGAGGGTAGGAGGAATGAATAGTGAGAACACAGGGGATTTAGGGCACTGAAATTCTTATTCTGTATGATACTGTAGTGGTAGATACATCCCATTGTACATTTGTCAGAGTCCACAGAATGTACAACATGATGCACGGGCTTTAGGTAACAATAATGTATAATATTGGCTCATAAATTATAACAAAGATGTTAATATTATAACAATAGTGTTATATGACAATTATAGCACTTAGATGTTAATCATAGGGAAACTCGGTGAGGGGAGGGGTGTGGAAGCTTATAGGGACTTTTCTCTCAATTTCTTTTGTAAACCTAAAACTTTTTAAAAAATCTATTAATTTTTTAAAATGAAAAGAGTACACGTTCAGCCTCGTGGCATCATCTCCACGGAGGGTGGTGGGCAGGTGCGCGGTGGATGATGCTGTCTTTCTTCTTCAGTCTTCTTTTGTACCCAACATGTAGCCTCAAGCAACTTCATTTGAAAATAGTTATCAGTATATTAAATCTCTTCATCTTCTGGTGGGTGTTTCTATTACCAGTCTCTTTTTTCAAAAACAAACCGAAAAGAAAAAGGAAGAATGCAAAAATAGCTAACCTTCCTCTTAACAAGTGTCTGTGTCTGTCAGTCACAGATTGCCTTATGCCCCTTCCACATTCCAAACGGTTGGTAACTGCCACGCTACAGGAGCCTGCTTACCCTACTTCCTAGCTGTCTTTTGGAAAAAAAAAATATTTATGCATATAAGAACTGAGGTACAGGCCAGAAGTATGGGGGGTGAGAGGATTCACCAGAGACAGAGTGGGGAACAGAACAGGCAGGCTGACTGAAATACACTGCTGAGGAGAGCAGCGGGCGAGTCAGGAAAGGTCTGCTGCACCATGTGGGTCACCTCCCTCGCCAAGGATCGAACTTGTGCTGCAGTGGGTGGGGATCCCTTCATAGTGCTGCATCTTAACCCCTTGCGCCACCAGGGAGGACCCTAGCTGTCTTGGCCAAAAAGAAAGACATGGTTGCCCTTTCTTAGGTCTGACCTAGGAGAAAACATCGTTGGCTCTGCACCAGCTCAGAGGCTCAGCTCCTGCCTTGAAGGAAGAGTGCTTGCTCCTTCTCTGTGATGTGGGAAGAGGACAGTTAGTTAAAAAGCACTATAGATACCGGATTATGAAGAGGAGTGTGTAATAGGAAAGATCACTAGGAACAGCACACGTAGTGAGAAGCCGTTGTTACAACTGACCAAATGAAAACCCATAGTTACGAATTTACAAATCGAAGAGGTGCGCTCAATGCTGCATTTGCATCATATAAAATGCGTTTCTCTCTGGAGGGGAGAAATATATCCAACAATTACCCTGCATTTGATGTGCCTTGAATACACATATGTACCCAGGGGCAGACAAAAAGACAGTGAGCATATCCAAAGCAGAAGAATTCATATTATCTCACGATGTCATACTGTATCTCACGAATAGTATCAGTATTCTCAGTATTCTCATTTCATGAACAAAATTTAAGTTTTGCTACCTAGAAGACCACAGCAAAAGCACATGTGCATAAAGGTGTTAAATTATTTCTTTCTCAAAGAATGTCTTAAGAAATGGGAGGTGAGTTACATATACACCCTCTGCACACCTTAAATGCCAGTGGAGTCAGCAAGGTCTTCTGGAGGCCCACACTCTGATCCTCTGTGATATTTTCTTGGACTTTCTTCCCCATCGACAACTCTAGAGAGGATCTGAGTGGCATACTAGCTATCTTGTGGACTGCCCAGTTCAATATTCAGTTTCTTCCTGTTACCAAAAACATTTGGAAAAGAGCATGTGAGTTCATCTCCATGGTACCCAAAGATGAGGAATACAACCCAGTCACCCAGAATTATATCTGAAGATTTCATGGGCTTTAGTTATTTAAAAACTCACATTAAGCTAAGAGGAAACATGAAATAAATAAATAAATCTAAAGATGTCAGGAATTTTTATTTTATTTAACTCTGGGAAAAAGATGAGATTCGTCTTACTCCTTTAAATTTCCTTACTCGTTCTATTCGCAACAAATCGGAACTCATGGGCTAAATAAGAATCAATCTGTGTGAGAAGTCAACAGATAATTGAAGGAACCAGACCAACAGCTGGGCTTCTCTTCCTCCAGATGTGCTGACAAGCATTTAGTTATTTTCTCCAATGAAATACACAACAGTCTACTGGAAGACATTGAAAATTATTCTATGGGACAATGATGTCTCGAGTTGGAGTCTTGGAATTCATCTTCTGAGTCTTGACCATATCTCTTTCCTTTGCAGGGCAACAGGCTTTGGCTTCTTGAATGCACTTTGCAAAGCAGCGGCCGTGCTTGGAAACTTAATATTCGGCTCCCTGGTTGGCATCACCAAAGCAATCCCCATCCTGCTGGCCTCCACTGTGCTCGTGTGTGGGGGACTGGTGGGGCTGCGCCTTCCTGACACACGAACCCAGGTCCTAATGTGACAGAGAAGAACCATCGCCTGTGTCCATGCTCCCGACTGACTCAAAGCTTCAGATTGTTCAGCTCAAGAAAGGTGGTCAAATAGCAGAACACTGATACTTGCTGTGACTAAAATGTAGATGCGTACCATCTTGCCCCTTCAGTGTGATTTTGCACAGGTTTTTTTCTTCCCCCATGTAATCTTTCCTAACTGTGATGCTACTGCCTTCTAAAAATCAGTGGAAGCATTTTTAAAATGTCCTAGTCAGCTGGGCCTCACTGAGATTCTGCTGGCTGAAGGTTTAGAAGCAAAGAAGAGGACTGTGCTGCTGTAAGAAATAGATCCTGTTCCTAATTCAACACTCACAGGAAATATAAGTTGGCATATTATTTAGCATTTGTGCTGAGGAGAGGGTTTTTTTTTTTTCTTTTTTTTAAATAGTGATATTTCCTGTTTACTTAGAAAAGGATACCCAGCAAGTCTCACTGTTACGGCAGGGCCTTTCAAAGAAAATCATGTGGCACCAAACAGAGCTGGGTGGGGCATTTTCAGTACCCACAATTAAGGTGACTGTGCTGACAAGAAAAATAAAGGTTCTGCAGTTAGGACAGATCTGAGTGAGCTACATAAGCAAGATTGCTGCTGAAAGGCCCAATTAAATTTCTGAAAAATATGAGGAAAGGGGACTGTGATTGTAATATGTGGTTTAGAACGTTAGGAAATTATAGAGATGGATCTTCTGCCTCTATTGACTGGCCCCACCCACCCCCTAGATCACCTGCCATTGATCTAGCCAGATAGCAGATTCAAGGAAAGAAAGCCACTTTCTAAAATCTGGCTCTGTCTACCTGATGTTGTCATCCTTGCTAAGTGTCTCTAGTCTAGAGATTATCAGTCATCTAAGTTGCTGTAAATTGCAAATTAGGGAGGAATTTACACCTTCACCCATTTGGAAATGCAAACTAATACTTGAGGGTACCATATCAGGAAGGAATGTGCCCCACATAATTGACTTGTGATTTTCTAACTAGCATCCACTGTGTGGGTTCCAATCCGCTATCTTCTGCTGGGATGGTTCTCCCAATCCCTGGATGGCAGAGAGTTCCCAGCCTGGCCAAATAATGAGGGACCCTTGCGCAGACATGGGCAGCTAGTCCTGGTGGTGCTTTGGCTGTTCATTTTACCTCTGGAACCTGTCTGGGCCTGGAAGAGAGAGGTCAGCAGGACATTCCCAGGGACTACATGACCTTTTCACCCTTGGGCCTGCCCCTCCCCTAAGCTCATCTGTTTTAGTCATCTTCTTTGAAATCAGAAGCCTCCCTGAGCCTGGCAAGGATGAACTACACCCAGGAGTAAACCCCATATTTAAACAGTATTCCTTTTTTAACTCTCATGTCTTGCTGGAGGGTAAGCCTTGTTCCTTACTATAGGCATTTCCAGCAGGGTGTAGTCTGGGGCCTCCAGGAAGGTTGGGCCTTTGTTTCCAGTAGTTCTTACATTCAATGATGTCTTAACCCCTGAGGCCTCTCTGTCTCCCCTCCCCTTCTTAAGGGCCCCTCCTAATGCTCGGTAGTGGACTGCCAGTCTGGGCTCTCATGAAAAGCTTCTTTCATTAACATAAGCCATTAATTGCCTCCCCCTCTAAGTCAAGAAGGTCTGTAAGGGGGGCAGCCTGGTGTTGAGGGTGGCAGGAAGAGGATGGTTCCCTGGGGATACGGGATCCAGGCCCGAACAGTAGAAAACTCCAACTCCAAACTGCAAAGGTAGGTGGGAAAAAGCAAAATAAGTCACGACTAGCTGAGATCTGTTAGAATGATATCAACAACACTGAGAAAGAAATAACTTGCTGTCATTTCTGCCTTGTTGAAATCTTATTAGTGAACCAAGGCAGCGGTCAGACAACCCAAGAAAATATCCTGTATGTTACTCTGCCCATATAGACTCATGGTCCCTCGTTGCTACTCTGTGATTTCTTTACCTTAAAAAAGACTTATTTGGGGAACCTGAGTAGGTCTTTTTTTTAATTGAGTGTGGCATATGCAGTAATAAGTGCAAAAGTAAAATGTATGTCTCCATCAATCCATTCAAAAGAAAAATGGAGATGTGTGTGGGTGTCGCTGTCTCTAGTTTGTTGTGACAGTTAACTTTGCTTGTGGGATGGTCTTTGCTTTTAGAAATGTTTCTAATGTCTGTTTTAGGTCTAAATGCATGAAATATCTCCTAAGCAGCAGAGCACAGTTGATGCCAAATTTTATGTGAATGCTGCCTTGGGTCAGAATAGGATAAACCGGCTGTACCCCATTTCATGAGACCTGCGACCATACATCCCTTTCAGAAAGACTGTTTTTGGCCTTGTTGTCACCTAATCCAAGCCTCCCAGGTGGCCCAAGTGGGATCTCTTCTCATCTCTTGGACGGTCTTGGTCACAAACCTTCTTGGGCACCTTTCACGCAGCATCTCTGCCATGCTCATGCTGTTTCCATCGCCTTGATTTTCTATGAGAGCTCAAGTCGTTTCTAAACTATGTGGTGTGGCCTGTCTGGCTTGTTCTGGGTTTAGCTGGATTAAGATATAGCCATGCGATTAAACAGAAACTCTCAGTTCTATTAATGTAACAGGCTGCTGGCACATAGACATGCAACCTGCATCTCTTTTCATCAACTGTGGAAGGAAAATGAGGGTTTGTGCGAAATGAAAGCCTAGGAAACAGTCCCACTTGCGCCTATATTTCTAACTCCTTCTCTAAAATTTCCTCATATCTCTTGGAATCAATCCAGAATGCTTCTAGAGCCTATTATTGTCACTGGGTCTTCTCAGTAGGAAGAAAAAAACAGCTGCTACAAACTATAAATCCTATAATGGGTCTTACACCCAATCCACATTCCCTTCTGCTGTCTTGAAAGCCAAACCCAGCAGCCAGGGGCCATCTGACACACAGAATCTGACCCAGGGAGATAAAATAGAGGGTCCTAACCCAAGCCCCACCACTAACAAACAGTGAGATTCAGCCTCTCAGTTTCTCTATCTAGAGAGTCAAGAATTGGGACTGGTTTGCTACTGAGCCTCGACCAGGATTCTAGATCTTCATGAAAATAGCTTCATTTCTTTATCTGCTTTATTCGGATACCAAACCAATTTTCCAAGGGCTAAAAAAGTTGAGTTTCTAACTGAAAAGCCAAGAGATAGGCAAACATGAAAGATCTGTGGTGTTGTTTAGGAAATCCTTTATGGAATAGGCTAGAGAAAATAGGTACCAAGTTGCTTGTGCCACCAGTCGCTTAGGATCCAGAGAATTATCTCCATCAGTGTCAGTTTAGCAGTGTCACTGCTTGCTCAGAAAGGGGACCCACCCGGCCAGTTACACACAATTGGAAGACTCTGCAATCACATTGCTATAAAAAAAAAAAAAGACTACTGTGTCTTAATAGCTCTTCTGACTCTTTATTCCACTTTATACTTGAAACATGATCTAAGTCAACCTGGGCCTTCAGAAACAGAGTTCCTAAGTGATTTCACTGAAGTTGACCAACGCATTTAAATTTATAAATCAAGTCTGAGTTCAGGTTTGCACCAAAAACTACTTAGCTGCTTTTTGGATGTCTTGAGATAACAAGGGAGAAGTGGGAAAAGAAATGTTTGCAGTGACTCTTAGTGAGAGTCTAAGATCACTAAGAAGGTTCCAACAAAGAGATTAGGACACAATTGAGACTTTCTAAACCTGGATCATTTCAAAAGCATTCCATGAGAATACCTTCTGATTCTCCCTGCCAAACAAAGTAGAATATGATATTCTCCATTTTTTTCTTACCTATTTCTTTAGTAAGATACCTCACCCTTTTGTGTTCTAAAGTCAGAAATGTCTGAATCTGGCTTTCACCTGAAATCATAGAAAAACAACTATCTGATTGTTAAGGGACATAAGCTATACATTCGTTTTCCTTAACCAACATGTGCTAAACTTAGTCCAGTTACCAAACTTACAGAAGAAATCTACATACGTAGAGTACTCTAAAACCCAACATACATTTCATGGCTTTTGTTTTTGCCAAGCAAAGTTTGTTTGAGTAAACATTCTGTTGTGGTCTATGAAAGAAAATTGTCAGTATCCCCTAGCTGTATTGTGTGACCCTTCATTGTTTTACGTGTGGAATGACAGTAATATAATGTCCAAATATTGCTCCAAGTATTGACCATTCCTCCCATCAACAGTGTCTCATCAAGCAGACAAACCCATTGCCAGGACTTCCTTTGGTCTTTATCAAACAATGCCTACCTAGGTCAAGTTTAGTAATCCCAAGATTTTAAGTTACAAAAATACATTTCATGGGTGTGTTTAGGCCTTTGTTTAAGGTCTGCAGTCCTGGGTAAAGGGAAGGGCTGGACAGAACTTTCACTAATCTGTCATTTCATGTGATTCTCCAATATTTATTGAGCACTTCCCGTGTGCAAGGTACTGAGGCATTGCTGCGTGCAGAGAGTTAACCCTTTGCAGAACTTGTACTAAAGCAAGGAAAACAGGGAATGAAAGAGAAAACATCTGTAATGAGAGTCTTATATTAACCCCATTCCATGTTGATCCCCCCAAACAGAAGTTTTATTTTTCCAAATTTGCAAAAATAGCATGCAATGGGAAGTGCAGGAATTATCCAGTAAGTGAGAATATATTTGATGGGAGAAGAAAGCCTTCCAGTTTGTTGGAGGGAATACTCACTAGCACTAGGAAAATAAGAACAGTGTAGCCACACTGGTGATCTCTTTAAATGTCTCAGCAAGAAATCACACTAAGGTACCCTTCAAGGAAAAGAATTACAGCAAAGATAGCCCCATTTTTACAGAAGGTTCATTTTTATAATCCCAGCTTCTTCAAGGTTGCTTCAAGGCCTGAAACTAGAGCTAAAGCTGGAAGGTCTGTTCCAAGGCAGGCATTGCACAGGAGCCGAATAAGCAAAACCTCTCATCGGCTGCAAGATCCCAGGCCTTAGGTTCCCAAGGTGCTTCCTTTCTGACTTTACACTGAGTCAGACTATCTTTTCTTTCTCTACGCTCAGCAGATAAGCCACCCAGAAAACAGGCACTGACAGTCAGTGAAGTCAGATTTCAGTTTAAATCGAGTGCATGGTTGTTGCAATGTAAACTGCAAAGAACCTTTGGGATTCTGGGACTTAAGGGCGGGTGGGGGGTGTGCAAAGCAGAGGGATGGTGGTTGGTGACCCTCTCTGCTCCTCACTGAGAATCCTTGTTTCTTTCTACCCCCAGCTCTGTCCACATTACCTTCTCCAGGCACCAGACACTTCCCATCTTTCTTTTTATTCTTCCTTCTTTCCTCCTCTTGTCCCTTCTTGATTCTAGCAGTGCATGAAAACCAAGTCAAACTTTTCTGGGGCACTTGGGACTAAAGAATGTGCCAATCAAGGCCTGCTGTGGAGGCCCAGGGGGT